AGAGTCTTGTTTGAACCTCAACTATCCTTTCTACCCCACATCCCACTCTGCCTTCCCCCATCTCTGCAACATCGCCTGGCTCCGACACTGTCTCACACGCAGGGCGCCGAGACCCTCATACACGCATCGATAACATCTAGACTCAACTATGCAAACTCCCTGCTTGTCGGCCTCCCGAACTCCTCCCTCGATAGGCTGAAGATCATCCAGAACTCTGCAGCTCGTATCCTCTCCTGCACTAGGCTCCGTGACCCTATCACCTCCATCCTTTCCCAATTCCACCGGCTTCCCATCACACAGAGAATACAGTTCAAGATCCTGGTCCTCACCTTCAAAGCCCTCCATGGCCTTGCCCCCCCCCACCTCTGCAACTTCCTAACCCCCTACCAACCTCTGCTCAGCGGGCTCCAGCCTGCTTCACGTCCCCTGCCTTGCCCGCTCCATCATTGGCGGGCGGGCCTCCAGCCACTCTGCCCCCACCATCTGGAACTCCATCCCGCAGTCCCTCAACCTCGCCCTCTTCCTCGCCTCCTTCGAGATCCATCTCAAGACTCTCCTCTTCGACCGTGCCTTTGATCACCCTCCTTCCCCTGCCCTCTATCCCCCCTGATCCCGACTCCAAGCTCGGGTCCAAAACACTGATCGTCCAGCGACTTGGGACATCTTTCCGACATGAAAGGCGCTATACAAATGTAATTTTGTTGTTGTAGATGGCCCTTTTCAAAATGCCTTTTTACATCCACTCGCTCCTGTTCAAAGACTAATCCATTACGCTAGAAAAGAACTGATGGTGAAATACTAGCCCTTGCTCTTGGTAAAGCAGGTTCGGTTTGTTCTGATAAGGAATCAATAATTCTTTTAATAGATTTTGCAAGATAGAAAAGCGCACAGGATGAGGTCAATTCAGGGCAGGCTGGGGAACTCTTCATTCAATTTCTGTAAGATGGCTTTGATCAAGATACTGAAGTGGTTGCAGATTATTTCTGATGAGGGCTGGTGTGCAACTTCAATCCACTTGTGCACAAGAATTATGGTAGTAAATAAAGCAACTACCTGCGTCGAATGGATTGAAGTGATTAATACAACTCTGGAAAGCAAGTCTTTGATTTAGTGTGGAAATGGATTGATGCTCCAACAAAACTACTTACTGGGAGCATAAGAGTCTACCCATTCGGCTCCTATTAACCCTGCAAACCAAAGCCCAAACTGGTTTGGTGGTCCCTGCAGGTCAAGCAACGGGAACCTTTCCAGGCAATGATAATGTGCCATTTCCACAGCACATTTTCTTTATTTAAAAAAATTATGATGTAGAATGAAAGGGTTTGACAACTCCATTTGGAACAGCAAACAAGTTGTCAGAGAATTAGGATGTTGACTAAAGATATGGTCAAAATGTTATGTTTTTAGGAGAATTTGGGCAAAAGGGGCAGAATAAATGTTGATGTTGACTTATTTTTCAAATGTTGTCCTATTTTCCCATTCAGATGCTGATTGACCAACACTTCCTGTTTTATTTTCACTGTTGTTTTTCAGCCGATAGATAGGAAATGTTCATTAGCTGTGTTTGCTCAGTATGACAACATTATCAGATCAGTAACTCACATGTGGAATGCTGGTTTGAGTCCAAGACCACAATTCTAAGATAGCCTGGACTGTGGCTCCCATTGAATGCAGTGCGGGTCTAATCTATAAAGACCAACTGTGAAAACAAGTTTTCTTTAATTTCACTCGGCATTTCAACTCTCAAATGGTTGCATAATTTCTTGATTGGTGAATAGAACACGTGACACAATTGTCTTAGCATAACTATGTCACCGTTTAAAACAAGATGGTAATTTGCTATTTCATATTTGCACCAGGCATATTGTGTAGGTTATTTTATATAGGTATATAGGTTAATCAAGGTCCTGTCTGTCTGTTCAGGTGGAGTTAAGATGGCACTGGGGAGGGGCTATTTTCCTGGTGCCCTGACCAGCACTCAGCCAGATAAAATTGGTCATTCACTTCATGGTGAGACGATTTGTGGGACATTGCATATATTCATAAATATTGAATTCTGGCAGTAACTAGATCTATTCATCTGACTGGTAGCACCACTAAAGTCTACTGAATGGGTTGGATCAGATATTCTGTGGGTCAGTGTGACACCCAGGTCCTGGCGGGATTCCACATTCACAAATTTGAATATTGTATTTTTGACCCCAATAATACATCAATTATCCATCCCATTAGCTACAACACCTGCAAACATATTTCTATTTATTTTGCTCACATTAGTTTCAGCTCAAAGGGCAGTTTAGTAAAAGATTGATGTTTTACAATGACACTATCCACCGAACCTGTATCCTGGTTTGCTGAGAAAGCTGTGAGAAAAGTGAAATCAAAGAGCACTGGGCAACAATTCCCCAAAGTAATACAAGATTTAACAAATTTGTTGTGCAGTGAGCTTGTAATTTGATGGTCACACTAGACATTCTACTACAAATATTCCATATAGGGCTTGCGTTACAAATATCACATTACCACACTCCAGATTTGGAGATGCAAACACTGATAAAAATACAAATATCATGATACTTTGGTCTGAATCTACTTGGATATGTCAGTCCTCAAATTGGTTACAGAATTGTGATTGACTCACTTTTACGTCTCACATGGTGGAGAGTATAACTGATAATCACAACATTGTCATTGCATATCTTTGTTATCTACAGAAGTTATCAAGCACAAGATATTGCCAGGAGTCTCTCCAAGCAACCCTGAGCACTTGACAGTGGTGGAAACTGACACCAAGCCAGGGTGAGAGGGAGGTGGTTTACAGAATCTTTTCATCTCCGATATCTGGATTCAAATCCAGCCCACAAATGGATTGTATGTGTCCACTTTCTGCTGTTAGCAACAAAGTTCCTGGTGAGAGTGAGACCAGAGTGTAAAATATGTCCATCTCATATGGAAAGACCAAAGGCAAGGCTGCCGAGTCAAATGTGAACTTTCTTCTTTCTTATTTCTACTAGCGGGTAAGTCGGTAACCCAGGGATACCGATTTAAAATAGTTGTTTGTTAAAAGAAACAGAGGAGAAATTTTATCACACAGCGAATTGTTCGAATCTGGAATGCATTGCATGAAAGGGTGGTGGAAACCGATTAAATAACAAATTTTAAGAGTAGATAATTATTTGAGGAGGACAAGTTTGCAAGGCTATGGGAAAAGAGTGGGGATGTGGGATTGATTTGGATAGCTCTTTTCAAAGAGCTGGCACAGACATGATAGGCCGAATGGCCTCCTTCTGTGCTGTATAATTCTATGATATGTAACTTATGATATTCGTGACCAGGGAGTTGTTGATGTTGGTAGTGACTGACAAAAAAACTATAGCCACCTTGTTGAATGACAAAAAAATTCACTAAATAAAACTTTACATAAATGTAAACCGCTTCTTCGCCCGGAACAGTGAAGTTTAACCTCGTTTGGCAAGCTCTGTGGCATTTTACAATTTTCAGTTTAAATGGAATAAATGTCCCTGGTTCTTATGTGTCTTAAGTATTAATCTGGCTCTTCTGTCCTGTTCAAAAGTCTCAACTACCCCAGTCTCACATGCAATACAACAGCGATTGCACATAGACCATTTTCAATTTGCAAGGCGAGGTTGGATTGCATTCCCTGACAATCTTCCATGGAGGAGCTGCCGCATTCATTGTCAACCAGATGATCGACTCAGAGAAATATCATATAGCAGCTATTTGTGATTGTGCCTCTGATCACATAATTGCATGACTAAAAAAAATTGTATTGATGATAATGCATCATTGAATCAAGAATATCGCCCAAATAACCTTGAATGTTTCTATGATTGTGTCACAATTGTCAGTGCTATTTCAATTCCCACCCTTTCACAATTCCTCTTTATTGACTGTTTAGGTGGATGTTAACGATCTTGTCCCATTATTGAAAAAGACAAGGGAGTTTCTCAAGATGTTCTGGCCAAAAATCTACCAGATAAAAATTAATCATTCGCTTTATATCTGTCTGTGAGACATTACTTTGCGTCATAATAATAATCATCCTAGCATTTGTTATAGCGCTTTTTATGCCTTCTAGACATCCTAAAGCGCTTCACAGAATATACTGTAAAGTGAATTGACTGTATATTTGTGGGTGAAATGCGGCTGCCAATTGCGCACAGCAGAATGGCTGCCACATTCAGCTACAAAATAGTCACTATACTCTGCGGTAAATTCTGCGCAGTGACTTGAGTGTCTTCCCTTAAAAGGGTGATATTCTGACCCATGCAATTTGAGTTCCATTAGCGTAGGATTGATAATGTGTAACATAGAAGGCAGAGGCAGGAGGAGCATCTACAAGCAAAAAGCAGCCAGCATAGCTTCAGAGTGATAGTACCCAATTCTTCATTCATTGACGACATTGCAGCTTAAGTATATAACAATGATTCTTATGCTATTGTTTATTTAGACTTTCAGCAAGCTTTATGTAAAAAGCTAAAAGTAAAAAGCTAAAGCGAAGACCCTCCTCTTCGACCATGCCATTGGCCACTCCCCTTCACCTCCCTTCCCCCCACCCCCCGACCCCAGCTCGGGTCTGAAATGCTGTACACTGTCCAGCGTCTTGGGACGTCCTCCCGACATGAAAGGCGCTATACAAATGTAATCGGGTTCTTGTTGAGACAGTACATAGGTAAAGGATGCTATATAAATGCAAGTTGCTGTATACAAAGTATAATTAGATGTCATTAGATGTACTAGAGGGGTGAAATGATGTGGCTGAATTGGCCTTTTCTCACAAATAAGTTAAATTAGTAGTATAAAATGAGTAGTGACCGAGGCCATTACTGCACGTTCAGGACACGTTCTAGCGATAGGCAGTTACCAGATCCTGTTGTAAATGTACTACACAAGGAAGGATCTCTCAGAACACTGTGAAGTTCGAGGAAACATCAATTTCATTCAGAGATCCAGATATAAAAAAAACGTAAGTCTCTGAATGGTGGAATCTGGAACTGGTTTATTGGCACATGCAGCTATGTGAACGTGAAGTAATGAATACACTGGCTTGTTACAGTAGGGATTACAAATATATAGAAGGCTGTAATTTTTAAAAATGTTTGAGGTATTTATTAACATGTCCTCATCGGTGCAAATTTAAAAACACAGGACCTGGAACAACTTTTTAATGACAATTGTACTGAATTATACATCAATTGATCTAATGTACCAAAGCCTGGTCTCCACTGGTTACTTATCCTCTTTTGCATGCAAGGGCTTTCCTACTCGTATTGTATTAACTTGCTGGGTTGAAATTGTTTTCTTCCAATGCATTCTCATCTTCTCCCTCCTCTTCATCTTCCTCGAGCTCTTCATCATCTTCCTGTGAAGAAGAAGTGTTTTATGATGTAATGAACAATTCAGTACTGATATCAATTCTATAACAACAGTACTAATTGCTGATGTCTCCATACCATTTTAAACAAGTATATTAATATTTAGTTTGCATAAACACAATAACATTACAGTAAACAGTATTGTCTAATTATTTTATCTTTAACATATATTCAGTCAATAGTCCATCATATTATTATTATCCATCATAATTACAGGGTAGAAAACAACTCCTTAGATTCAGATAGCAATTTATCCTTCACTGTTAAAGTTGCAATAATCATATCAAAATACCATTTCCTCCCCACTTACAAATCTGCATAAGGAGCTTTTATTTAAACAGTTACCTTCAAAAAATGTTAAAGGTACAGACCAGAAGGCTAGGAATTAATATTATGAAGTAGCTGTCATAAGAAAGTGTTCCTTCAATTTTGTAATCAGTTACTGCTGATATACCAGCTGAAGACTATAAATCTTATTTCAGACATTTATGCTTCTATGTTGTATTTTATGAACTATACAGCATAGCTTCCTGACAAGCCTGCCAATTTTCCAATTACTGGTTACCCCATATGTTATCTGAAATTCAGTCAAGTCTAAAATGGGAGAAAAGATCATGTCAGGTAGCAGTGCGCTAGCAATCTTCCATAACTCTAACTTAGGGGTTTTGCATGCAAGTCACTGTGTAGCTTTTGTAATCCAATTGCTTAAACGAGGCAGGGTCAGAAATGTTGCTCAAGAATGATTGATACCTCCTATTGACTGTTCAAAAGCACTTCCAACCATATACAGATCTTAGATCAACGGAAGACATAACGGGTATCAGTTAAAGAGAAATTAAGAAATATATTTGCTCACAGTGTTTGGAATCTTTTTGTCATTCAATATACTTAGAATCTACAGCACCAACTTGTCTGTGCCAGTGTTTATATTCCACATGAGCTTCCATCCATCCTGAAACCCCCTCTCTAATCTTCTCTCTCTATTTCCTTCAACTACAGCATTTGACAAGAGTTCTATATTCTCACCAGCTTCTCCGTAAAGAGGTTTCTCTTAAACTCCCTTATAGATCCGTTATTAGCCGTGAGAGTATTTTAAATTCGGAAAGCAGTCCAGCCACTGTGTATAAAAATAACCTGCAACAGCAAGGGAGACTTTACACCTAGGAGAGTATTATTTTCCAAAGTATTTATGCTCTGGTGTGAATGTGTTTAGGGATCATTGTTAAGATGTTTCATGATCATTGTCCCAAAGACAATGGCCAAGTCGTTCACACCTCAAATTGAATAAGTCTTGAAGCTTTTATGAAACATGAAACTCTTTATCTGGAGAGATCTTTGGAGAGTGACCAGCAGGTCTGAAGGGCTGAACAAGCTGAAGAGAGAGAGCGCGACCTGCCTGATTGTTTTCTGTGGGAAAAAAAGCAGTTTTGCAAAACAAAACAAATTGTCGATACAACTTCCCATTGTTTCTGTTTTTGTTCAATTCTTTTACTTAGACGTAAAAGTCAATGTAGTAAATCTATATACACATTTATAATATTGGTTTAGCATTGGTAATTAAAAGCTTATTGTTTTAAATGGAAATGAAGCAGGTTAGCTGCTGATATATTTCCGTCCTTACTTTTGTGGATACTGAAGAGCGATTACCAGTGCTTTATTGTTGGTCCGGGTTAGTCTGACTGTGATTGCTTGTGCCCATATAATCAGTGCATGACACAGAACAAATTCAGGAGTGAAGCTGGGTGCAGCTGAAATTTGTAGTAACCAAGGAAGGGGCTCCTGAGGTCATTCAATAAGAGATAAGCAAGACAATTGAAATTGTGTGACAGTGGCTACCTTGTAGTTATTCCCCCTTGTTGTGAACTCGGCAAGGTGGAACCAGTCTATTTATATGCTTATCTTATGAAACCCCTTCATAACTTAAACACTTCTGTCAGTTCCCCTCTGAATCGTTTCAACTCCAAGGTAAAATATCCGGGCCTGTTCAGTCCTTGTCGATAGTTACGTCCCATCAAGGCTGGCAACCTTCCACTGAATCGATGCTGCGCTCTCTGCTTGGCCACGATATCCTTCTTGTATTAAAATTATTGAATCTATTTTGAAACATTGCTGACGACTGATCATGTACCTGGACCTTTCCGCCCTCATTTCAGCACATCGGCTTGTTCTGATTTTTAATTTGTAAAAAAATTATTGTAATTTGTTTTTGTCATCTTGCCTGTACCTTAAACTGACCTAAGTTCATCTGTTAATTTGAGAACTGCTTCACAGGAAACCAACTGAATCAACTCAGTATCTGGCATCAGTCTAATAGCTGTGCCCATGGATTTCTCTGTTACTCCAATCACGGAGATTGATATTTCAGTCATGAGTAATCTTTAAAACAAAATTTGGCTTTGTCAAGTTGTTTTGTGAAGTTGTTCTTTTCTGAACAGTACATCCAATACATCCATATGCATTTTCAGTCAGTTTATTTTCTGGACTTTTCAAAGCAACAACGACTTGCATTTATATAGCATTTGCATATTAATTCCACAACTGCACTTTAATATTCTGTAACTGTAATATCAATGCCCTCCAGCCACAGTTCAAGTAAAATAATTTGTGCATTGGTCAATACATTTTTCACCCAAATCAACATATTTTTAACTCTAAATGCTGCACAAAACCGATGCCTGAAAATGTTCTGAAAAATGAGATTGTGAATGAGATTCACAAGAGGACTCATGAAAATACACCCCAAACTGGTTATGGTTACCTAATAGATAATAGATAAGACAAACAATCTCCGTTATAACATGCCTCTTGCTTAGCCTAGGATTCTGCATCAATACTAAAAACATTCTATTTAAGCAAAGACTAAATGCAGTATTTTCTATTATCCTTCATTTATTTGCATTTGCATAACTTTAATGGTCACCCATGCTCCATTTTAAAAACCCTGGGTGTGTGGTTATCTTCTTGACAAATGACTGAATCCACTGTAAAACATCAGACTGTGAACAGTTAAGCCTTGCACCAATTGCTTTATGGCAGATATAACATTTTTATGATAGATTGCAGATTTTGACATTGCAACTGTGCAAAGCAAAGACAGCTGTTTATTACCCAGGGAAAAGGGGACCGTAGCTACATGGATCATTTTCATACTGACAGCCTTGACAAGTTTGACATTTGCTTTGTGAAGCATTGTAAAGCAGCTGTCAGGAAAACGTACCCCCTGGGGCTTCACACAACTTGTAACTGTGCCCTCTGTGGCACATCCTTATTGGTTTTGACTAGGGAAGAACAAAAATTGCCTGCAATGAACTTCTTTCTAATAACATTTGCAGGAAAGAAAGCTTGTAACGGCTATAATTACAAAAAGGGAGCAGCCATGACATTGGTTTTCTTCAGATATGCATTTTAAATGTGTTCGATCGCAGCCAATTAGCAAGGAAAGCTATCTTGCAAAACGTTACTTTCTATGAAGAATTAAGATGAAAATTTATAGCTGTAGGTTATTCAATTAACCTTCAAACCACTTGTTACAGAAAAGGTTGTGTCATAGATAAGAGTCTGTGCTTATTTTATATGGTAAGGGTTAATAACGCTACATCAAATATATATCTCCCCCCACCCTGAAGCTGAATGTCTTAACAGATGAAAGGGACTGCTGATAAAATTTGGGCTCTGTAGATTTTCAAATTTAGTATAATCCTTACATGGCTAAATCCTTTCCTAGCGCATGTTCTATTTAACGATGTTCACATTGCATGCCATGTGCTGCTGTTTGACCACCTTTGGCCTTCCTTTTTCTGCATTTTGATTCAATTTTCCAATGAATTGAATTAGCAATCAGCTAACACAATTTATTTCCATCACACTACAATTATGTGCTTTCCCATTCCAAGTAATACAAAGGGCAATGAATCTACTTCCAGTTTCAGAGTGCTAGGACAAATATTGCAGCGAATATAAAGCAAACGCATAATTATATTTGCTGTAAAGTATACAAATTGTTTTTTTTCTTTAATAACACAGGTTAGATGTTGTAGAATAAATACATTGTAGTTGAAATAGCAATTTAATAGAAATTTTAAAACCATTATTGGAAACAAGTGTTTATTTGGATACTTTTCAAAAGAACGTCTAGAATCCAAACTTTAAGATAAGTTTTTTAATCTACCAAATGGTACTTATTCAAAGATGACTGGGCATAGTTATGCTGCATCACCAATAGATGTCTTGATTCTGGGCCTATCTTGCCTTTTTAAAAACATTTCACTTCACACATTTTGAGACTCAAAAATCTCTTATACCCCGACCATAACATTTATGTGCCCTAACCACTAAGCTACAGGACTCCACAAATAGGGAGAGACTATTTTGGTACCAAGAGGAAAGTTAGGAGAATATATTTGACACAGAAGGTTATTAGGATGTGCAATGACTTACCAAAAATAATGGTCGAGGAAGAATCTTTAATAGCTTTTAAACATGAATGAAAAGCAAAGATATAAAAGGGTATGAAGAAAGGGCAGGGGAATGGGCCTAAATGGATAGCTTTATGTAATAGTTGGTGTTGGCACAGGCACAATGAATCAAATGATCGCCATGTGGTATACAATGATATGTATATCATTTACTGTAAAACAGCAGATTAATCAATAAACAGTAACATATTTGTAAATGAAGTAGCCATTAGTGTTGTCATTAGAGTTGTGTCTTCCCTTTTACAGCACCATGGATCTGCTTTGAACTCCCTGATGACTGACAACTTAGATCTTCAACTATATATGTGCTAGAACTGACTGATGAATTTTGCTTCAAACAGATCTGAAGGAGTTGATTTTGGACATGATCTGACGTTTCATTTCACACTACCCAAATCTATCAGTGTCCTTAATTGGTGTTAGAGCAAAGAGGAATATTAAGGGTATTATCTATAGTATCTGGATTCAGAGGACATCCTGCCTAACTGAGATAAATGAGCCTTCACTTTTTT